CCATCCCATGTGTCTCTCTGATGGCCGCCCTCCCTGCCATTTTACCTCTTAGAGCAGGGAAGAGAGCGGCCTCTCGCTGGCACGCGCTCTCTCAAACGGAGCGGCGGGTAGTCAATTTACACCCAGCGCTCCTACGCAGAACGTAAGGAGGGGGAGGAGCTTCCCCCTCCTAGTGAGTACTGTGCGTGCGGTACCCTTATGGAGCCCCTGGGGTGCTGGCCCGAGCGGGGGGGGGGCAAAAACATTTCGCCAACCACATGGTACACCGCTGTATGGGCATACTCACCGTCAGGCTCTGGGGCCCAGACCTTGAGCTGTGTAAGGGGCCCCAAAAGATGGTGCTTCTTCCTTCTCTCCTAGAATGTTGAATTTTGTGACCACAGTTACAAACAGCCTCCAGAGATCCTGTTCTACACCAGACCAGTGGAGCCAAACTTCAGCCAGAGCCCATCACCATCCTCATCTGGTTGTAAGTAGGCAATCTAGTATATTATTAGTGACACTAATCTCTAATTTACCTCACATTAAAGGAACACTATAGTCTCAAGAAAACTGCAGCTTAATGAAGTAGTTCTGGTGTCTGTAGCCTGTCCCTGCAGGCTTTTTAATGTAAACACACACTGTGTGCAGCACTGGTATTAGTTCATATGGCAAATCATATGGGTGGGGCATTGAGATGTCACATGGGGGGGCAGGCTAATTTTTCTTTTGCCTAGGGCAGCAAAAATGCTTGCACCGGCCCAGAGCTGGTGTGTAGGATTTGGAGGTCCTGCTTAGTTGCAGGTTCTGGGTTGCCAGCTATTGCTGTGGGCTGCTGTTGTGTGCCCTCCAGTGGGCTCTGTGCCTGAGGGGGAGCCAGTGATGCCACATGTGAGACTCCTGTTGGAGGTGAGTTTTCCGCTGCCACCATCTTGTCTGGAGTGAGCCACTGGAGCATGGCTCCGATGTCCCGCTGTTCATTTGCGGTTCTGGGCGGAGGTTTCTGGGATCTGTGCCCCATGGAAGGTAGTGAGCTCTGCCTGAGGCGATCACAGATCTGCCAGTTCCCTTTTGAGGTCCCCGCTCAGGAGGTACTCAAAGTTGCGGTATGCTGACGTGTAGTAGGCCCCTTGGCTGCGTTTCGGCTTTGGATGCTTCGGGGAGTATAAGGAGGGCATCGGGCGATGCAGCAGGGTGTCCCCGGTCTGCATCTGCTGTGTGCGGGGTTGGATGGTGGCGAGGTGCCGAGATATATGGCAGAGTGTGTGTTAGGATATTGGAACGTTTAGAAATGATGTCTGGTCCGGTTAATGCCAGGCTCTGCCCCCCCCCCACATCCCTTTTTGATGCAAACTCACATCCTTTTTTTGTCACTTGACTTGCATACTTTATTACCAGTTCAATTTGTACTGAGTTTGGAGTATCATATTGAATTTATGATATTGACCTTGCTCAGTTACTGTTTTCTAGTTAGTTTACACGGTATTGGTATCTTTCTTTCATGTTAAGCCCATCCATTCTAAAGTCTTTTAATTATTCTTCATAACAATTGCCTCTATCTGCAGTTAGGGACCCTATATGTGACCCCCTAGACCCTGACAGTGATATTTAAAAAAATAAAAAAACATCTGTAACTAATAAAAAACAACTTTAAAAGTTTATTCCCCCTCCCCTGGTATACAGCGGCCAAGGAGGAGGAATGTTTAGCCACCCCCTTTGTTGTTCAATGGATGATGCATGTTGTGTGCACCTCCAGAGGTGCAGGTTGTGCTATCTTTTCCAGCTCTAAGAAAGTATCAGAGTACTGCTTCAGTAGCCCAGAGGAAAAACTCTGATTCACAATAAGGAGCCTTGCACTTGGTCTGTACGCAAAAGAAGTGCAGACCACAGGCACACACTTACTCCCCCTATCCCATTATAACACAGGGCTGGCCAATGAAGGAGATATTTGATCTCCCCTCCATCTGCTAAACTCTCTTTCTGGGACAACTTTCAAGTTGGACTGACCCTGTACTGGCTGTATACTGCATGACAAATGCATCTTTTCTCAGAGAAGTTTTAGGTTATTGCATATGCTGGCAATAGTATAAAATCCAGAATTCAGAAACTGTATTAAAGATGTAACAGAAATGTAAATAAAAAGGGAGAAATCAACGTGCAGAACACCAAGAGGAGAGCTTAATGTTTACAAAATTATATTATGCATTTGTGTTCTAGGCATCCTTGTAGGTTTTGTGGAATGTGGGCTGTGTTCCCTTGATCTATCCTTATTTGGAATGGCTGCCGTGCACTCTTGCTCAACAGGGGATCTGTGGTTGATAGCTTCAACAAATGCCAAAAAATAATAAGGTTTATTACCTAACAGTAGTATAGCTTTTTGCCAAGAATTCTGAGGTTTGGGAACTTGGACAGTCAAAAACATGTGCTGAATAACTTTTACTTTCAAGTTGTTCTTTAGCAAAATGTACAGAAACATTTGCAGTGCATTATGGGACTGCAAAAAAAAGAATGGTTCTCCTACATAGCATAACAGTGCATGGCAGACCAACATAAAATACAAATAATCTGAGTTATTAACATTCAAAAGCCTCTCGCCCTAATAAATACTCCAAAGGCATCTTTAATACCAAATAAGGTTTCCCAACACAAAATACAAAAAATCATAAAAGCAGTATATCGTGACTCCAATCATAATATTAAGCAGAGATGGAACTGGAACTTATTTTAAGTTTATGTTTTTAGTGTATAGAAAAACAAGTAGTAAGAGAGATGAGAACAGACAGCAACTCAATAACCCTGACCTTTATTTAGCCTGCCCCTGCTCAGATCTCAAGCTGGTTTTAGCTCATCTTATGCCATTACAGAGAGAACATATCTGAAGCATATCAGACTGGTCCACCTGTACAGTTAGTCCAGATCCAAAATGCCAGCAAGTTCCCTCTGCACGAGAGATTCAGCAACCCCAATGATCGTTTCAACCGTGAAAAGATGCTGACGTCCATAGGAAAGCATTGAGAAATGCTTTCCTATGGACTGATTGAATGCAAGCATGGCTCTTTCCGCGCAGAAGAGGGAGGAGAGTTCCCCAGCGCCGAGGGAGCCCGGCGCTTGAGAAAGGTAAGAGTTTAACCCCTTCAGCCCGGCGAGAGTGGGACCCTGAGGGAGAGGGGGACCTAAAGACCCTATTGTGCCAGGAAAACAAACCATACATATACCATATGCATTTATATGTGAATTGGTATATGTTAACTCAAAGTTATGCAATAATTTAAGGACCACTAAAGTCACTCTGACCACTTCCTAATTACGTAATTTCATGGAGTCAAGATATACTGCCTTATGATTTTTTTCGCATTTTGATTTTGTCTCCTTATGTTATGTTTTATGTAATGCTTATGCTCTGGTAATTTCTCAGAGGGATACATTGTTTTATATGTATGAATACTGCATAAGGTTTTACTGGTAATAGGCACGGCTTTATTATTATTATGTTATTATTTATATAGCGCCAAGTAGTAAGAGAGATGAGAACAGACAGCAACTCAATAACCCTGACCTTTATTTAGCCTGCCCCTGCTCAGATCTCAAGCTGGTTTTAGCTCATCTTATGCCATTACAGAGAGAACATATCTGAAGCATATCAGACTGGTCCACCTGTACAGTTAGTCCAGATCCAAAATGCCAGCAAGTTCCCTCTGCACGAGAGATTCAGCAACCCCAATGATCGTTTCAACCGTGAAAAGATGCTGACGTCCATAGGAAAGCATTGAGAAATGCTTTCCTATGGACTGATTGAATGCAAGCATGGCTCTTTCCGCGCAGAAGAGGGAGGAGAGTTCCCCAGCGCCGAGGGAGCCCGGCGCTTGAGAAAGGTAAGAGTTTAACCCCTTCAGCCCGGCGAGAGTGGGACCCTGAGGGAGAGGGGGACCTAAAGACCCTATTGTGCCAGGAAAACAAACCATACATATACCATATGCATTTATATGTGAATTGGTATATGTTAACTCAAAGTTATGCAATAATTTAAGGACCACTAAAGTCACTCTGACCACTTCCTAATTACGTAATTTCATGGAGTCAAGATATACTGCCTTATGATTTTTTTCGCATTTTGATTTTGTCTCCTTATGTTATGTTTTATGTAATGCTTATGCTCTGGTAATTTCTCAGAGGGATACATTGTTTTATATGTATGAATACTGCATAAGGTTTTACTGGTAATAGGCACGGCTTTATTATTATTATGTTATTATTTATATAGCGCCAACAAATTCCGTAGCGCTTTACAGTGGGTGGACGAACAGACATGTAGTTGTAACCAGACAAGATGGACACACAGGAACAGAGGGGTTGAAGGCCCTGCCCAATGAGCTTAAATGCTAGAGGAAGTGGGGTAAAGTGACACAGAAGGTAAGGATAGTATTAGACTAGTGACAGTTGCAAGAGAGGAATCAGTTGGGAACTATTAATAGTTTAATTGATACGCTTTTATGAAGAAGTGGGTTTTTAATGATTTTTTGAAGGAGTGGAGACTGGGTGAGCATCTAACGGAGGAGGGAAGTGAGTTCCACAGGAACAAGTTTTGAAGGCGAGCATTAGAGGTGGGAGTACGGACAGAAGATAGACATAAGTCTTCAGCAGAGCGTAAGGGCCATACTTGTTTATTAATGAGGATAGATAGGTGGGAACAGCATTATGTAGAGATTTGAAAGCAAGAACCAGAATTTTAAATTAAGCCCTATATCTTACAGGAAGCCAATGTAGGGACTGACAGAAAGGTGTAGGGCCTGACAGAAAGGTGTGGAGTAGGAGGTGTGTGTGGACAGGAAGATGAGCCTCGCCGCCGCATTCATTATGGACTGTAACGGCGCAAGTTGGGAGCACGTAAAACCTCAGATAAGCGGATTACAGTAGTCAAGGCGAGAAAGGAGAATGGAATGGACCAGCACCTTAGTCGCATCTGGCGTTAAGTAGGGTTGGATGCATGCAATGTTTTTGAGAAGGAAACGACAGGATTTGGCGATAGACTGAACATGACACAAACACAGGAGAAGAAACACTTGAGGGAGGAAAGACTAGAATTTCAGTTTTGGTCAAGTTGAGTTTAAGGAAGTGGGCAGCCATCCAGTTAGAAATAGAGAGGCAGTCAAAGACACTAGTCAAGAGGGACGGGGAGAGATCAGAAGAGGATAGGTAGATTTGCATGTCATTTACAAAGAAATGATATTGGAAGCCAAAGGAGCTAATGAGCTTACCAAGGGAGGCAGTATAGATATTGAACAGTAGGGGACCAAGGACTGAACCTTGGGGGACACCAACAGAGAGGAGTTGGGGAGAATAAGCAGAGCCAGAGAAAGAAACACTGAAAGAGCACTGGGAGAGGTAAGAGGAGGACTATAGTGTCCCTTTAATGGTGTTTGTTTAGGACCTTCACGTTCTGTGGAACTTTGTAGACCATTTGTAGAGGGAACATAGACAAATAATTAAGACATACTGATATAAATGGAACAGAAAACCCTGTCTGTGAGATAACAACCAAGTGTACACAAAAGAAGGGCTACTAAACTGGTTCATGGATTGTGGGATAAAACTTACCAGGAAAGGTTAAAGGATCTTAACATGTATAGCTTGGAGGAAAGACGAGACGGGGGGATATGATAGAAACATTTAAATATATAAAGGGAATCAACACAGTAAAGGAGGAGACTATATTTAAAAGAAGAAAAACTACCACAACAAGAGGACATAGTCTTAAATTAGAGGGACAAAGGTTTAAAAATAATATCAGGAAGTATTACTTTACTGAGAGGGTAGTGGATGCATGGAATAGCCTTCCAGCTGAAGTGGTACAGGTTAACACAGTAAAGGAGTTTAAGCATGCGTGGGATAGGCATAAGGCTATCCTAACTTCAAGATAAGGCTAGGGACTAATGAAAGTATTTAGAAAATTGGGCAGACTAGATGGGCCGAATGGTTCTTATCTGCCGTCACATTCTATGTTTGTATGTTTCTATGTTTCTATCTAGCAACTGTCTGAGAGACAGCAGCTAGAGGTGGGATTAACCCTGTAATCAAAACATGTTTCTCCAAAACCGCAGTTTTTTGACTAACAGGGCTAATGGGAGAGGAGTAAGGCACCCAGACCACTCCAATGAGCTGAAGTGGTCTGGGTGCCTGGAGTGCCCTTTAAGATTAGAGACAGCTGAGAAGCTATTGAGGGAAATCAGGACACAGATTTGAACAATAATGGTTCTAAATTCTTCTCATGCCAGATGGAACCATTTTGCTTAGACATGAAGATTTGTCAGGCCATATTAAAGTCCAAACTAATAACATCGACAATATATTTTTGGGTCTGGTTTTAAAATGATCTGACTGAGTTACATCTGTAAAAGGCTCATTTGTGACACATGTAGGAAACTAAACACTTATGTAATAAAGGGACTTTCAAATGTGTGCTATGTACTTGAATCAATAGGTGGAATATTGCACACACAGTATATAAAATATTCCCCATAATGTAATTTGCTACAACTCAAGCTGTTTTACACAGAACAGTTTACAGCCTTTATTGGATCTAATTTTTCCAACCCACACAGTTATTCCATTTTCCACTGAGGGTGACTTGGCAGTTTAGCACATTGAAATTCTGTAATCAATCTTGCAATTGCTTGCCAGAAACCATAAATCAGACGTGAGTGAGCTGAATGAACCTTGAATTTCATCCAAAAAAAGTCTTGCAGAAGATCACATCATGTTTTCCCTTTCTTCGGCAAAATAGTTTTTGTGATAGAGTTGAACATTTCTAAATCTAAAACATTAACTCATTCCTAGACAAAGAGTATTCTGTTTATGGTCACAAAACTCAGGCAATGTATGGTTTATTAACCAAATCTTTACTGCAAATTTTAGACTAAAATAGCCCAGATGTGTATAGATGAATTGCAGAAAATTAGCTCTTTATTATCTAAATGTTGCAATAAAGGGACATTATAGTCACTAGAACCACTACAGCTTAATGTAGTTGTTTGGTGTGTATAAGCTGTCCCTGCAGGATTTTTAATGTAAACACTGCACTGTTTACATTGGTGCCTAGGGCATGTCTAGCTGCAGTCACTCAGACGGCCACTCGAGGTGCTTCCTGGGTCAGTGCTGCACACTGTGCAGCACTGATATTCATCATCTCTACCCTCTGCATAGAGGTGCTGAACATTTCTCATAAAGATGCATTGATTCAATGCATCTCTATAAGTAGTTGCTGTTTGGTGCAGCGTGGTGTCTTAACTCGAATGTGTGATAGCCTCCCAGTGCCTTCCTATGGGAAAGCATTGTATAGGTTGAGATGATCAAGTTTAAGCTAGAGTGAAGGACACATGCTGAGCTGGAAAAAGATAAGGGTAAGGAGGGGCAGCCACCTAAACTGGTATTTAGACCTATTGTGTCAGGACACATGTTTGTATTCCTGACATTATAGTGTTATTTTAAGTACCTGTTAACTCTTGAATTCAGCCTCTGGCAGTATTTTCTTCCTTGGATGTTATAAACATTAGCTAGAATGTGTTTATCTGCTGAGCATTTTCTTTTACAAAGCGTGATTGATAAGGAGAAGAGATTTCGATTCCCAGAAACAACGCATATATTTGTGTACCCACAAGCTTAAATTTTGATTTACAAGATAAAGCTGGGGTTTACACACTAAAAAACGAATTGTACTGAATCAAAAAGTACAATCCTGCAAAAGTACAATTGCAAAATGTGAGCAACAAAGCTATAGTCACAACTTGACTAATTTAGACTAAAACTTTTTATTTTGTTTTCAGCGCATTGCAATTGGTTAAGTGTAGTATAAAGCCCACATGGCCAACGTCATATTGTAGAAAATAAAGAGATATTCAGTGCTTCACAAATACTGATGCAGCTCTAGAGGCAGCTTAATTACCAATATCTGTTTTTTCTCTTGACCCATGGAAAAACAGATATTAACACAAAGGATGGTGCAGCGCCCGAGATGTCCTTAAAAAGTAGATAGTAGAAACAAAAAAGGATACCTAATTGTGAAGTATCTAGCAGCTCCAGACTATAACAGAATAAAAAATAGGTACACTCATACTTTTTGAAGCTAGGAAGAAGCTCCCACTTTAGCGCCTGGGCGGAATAAGTCCTGCCAGCGGATATTGTGGAGGATGAGCTCTTGTGGTATGTTCTTATGATGGTGGTGACTCTCGTAGATATGTAGAAGAGATGAGAGGTATATGGTGCAGTATGTCACATAAAAATAAGTCTAAGAAAGGATAATTACGCACTTACGTGTTCCGGAGCCTGAAGAGCACCTCTGCAGAATTGGCGTTAAGTTGTATAATCCCCACTATTGGATGTCAGTGATGATAGTATCTCTCCGGTGGTATGGAAAAAGGAAAAGAAAAGCCAAAATAGTGTACACTTTATTGAGTGCAAGATAAAATGAGGAAGATTTTCTGTTACACTCTGGAGCTGCTGCATACTTCACTATTAACTCTCCTTTTTTGTTTCTACTATATACTTTTTGAGGACATCCCTGGAGCTGCATCATCCTTTGTGTTTTCATCAACTTCAAATTGGCCTGAAATGCCAAGTACTCCCAGTAAATCTTTTCCCTGGTTTTGTAATGTAAAGAGAAAATCTACTCGTACTTAGTTTTCCTGGTGATGGGCCATGGCAGTACCATTCCTGGGTTAGCTACACTCACTGCTCCCATTTGAAAGTAAAAAGTTAAACATAATAGATACCTCCACATTGCTCCTTTAACCCTAGTTTGTAACAAGCCACACAAAAATTTTTAAAAATAAATATATATATATATATATAGGTTATGGTGGGGAAAAATTGTGATTGAAAACCCCTTCCACCTGTAGTATGTGGATAGTTAATACAATGCTAAACAAAAATCTGCACACCAGTCAAGCCATAAGACTTGCTTTTCCCACAGAAATTCCAAATCAGCAGTGATGTTACAACCGCAAAGGATTCTGGGTGGGCATATGCAAATTAGTTTAACAAAGAATCACATTTTTGCCTCATTCCATTTTAAACATGGATTCCTTTTAATTTGTGTTTGCAGTATACAACTGCTTGAAACACAATTTAGGATAAGATGCAAAACCAGTGAACCACTCATGGACAGCTGTTTCGTTGTTAATGCAACTCTTCAGCATGAGGTTGGTTACTGGTTTGCTTAGTGAGGCTTGGTAGTGCTTGGGAAGCAAAATCCAAATAGGTTATGGTGGGGAAAAATTGTGATTGAAAACCCCTTCCACCTGAGTATGTGGATAGTTAATACAATGCTAAACAAAAATCTGCACACCAGTCAAGCCATAAGACTTGCTTTTCCCACAGAAATCCCAAATCAGCAGTGATGTTACAACCGCAAAGGATTCTGGGTGGGCATATGCAAATTAGTTTAACAAAGAATCACATTTTTGCCTCATTCCATTTTAAACATGGATTCCTTTTAATTTGTGTTTGCAGTATACAACTACTTGGAACACAATTTAGGAAAGATGCAAATCTAGTGAACCACTCATGGACAGCTGTTTCGTTGTTAATACAACTCTTCAGCATGAGGTTGGTTACTGGTTTGCTTATGAGGCTTGGTAGTGCTTGGGAAGCAAAATCCAAATAGGTTATGGTGGGGAAAAATTGTGATTGAAAACCCCTTCCACCTGAAGTATGTGGATGGTTAATACAATGCTAAACAAAAATCTGCACACCAGTCAAGCCATAAGACTTGCTTTTCCCACAGAAATTCCAAATCAGCAGTGATGTTACAACCGCAAAGGATTCTGGGTGGGCATATGCAAATTAGTTTAACAAAGAATCACATTTTTGCCTCATTCCATTTTAAACATCGATTCCTTTTAATTTGTGTTTGCAGTATTTGCATTTTTGCATTTTATCCTAAATTGTGTTCCAAGCAGTTGTATACTGCAAACACAAATTAAAAGGAATCCATGTTTAAAATGGAATGAGGCAAAAATGTGATTCTTTGTTAAACTAATTTGCATATGCCCACCCAGAATCCTTTGCGGTTGTAACATCACTGCTGATTTGGAATTTCTGTGGGAAAAGCAAGTCTTATGGCTTGACTGGTGTGCAGATTTTTGTTTAGCATTGTATTAACTATCCACATACTACAGGTGGAAGGGGTTTTCAATCACAATTTTTCCCCACCATAACCTATTTGGATTTTGCTTCCCAAGCACT